ATAAAATAAAATAAAATAATAAAATAAAATAAAATAAAATAAAATAAATAAAATAAGGGCTTATTGTTTCAGAATTCTAAGAAGGATGAGGAAGAGATAAGCAAACTAAAAAAGTATATTTACCTTCAAGATGGGTGCCATGAACACCGAAATGCCTGTCAGAAGGAATACGATACATCCAGTCACTCTCTGCTCCCTGAAATCAAACCCAGGAATAATATAACCGACTCTTATTTGAAGGACATTTTACTAAACAAATTGTTGGAAGTTGAGGACTACCTGTATACATGACTTGAGGTTACAATATCTCCAAGGTTCCAGGAAGAAAAGAAGATAGATAGCCACTATCTCCTGCCACTGATTTGTCTGCCACCAGACTTTTGTCAAAGCACTCAGAACCACTTGTGAATAGTCTCAAGCAGAAGCTTTATTGCTGGTTGCCTATGTTACAAGAATCCCACCAATGGACTATAAATCAATAATCTACTACTCTACCAAGGAACCAACAACAACACTCCCACCAATACTGACAGAGCAAGACAATAGTATATAAAAATAAGAGCAAACCCCATTCTCTTCTAGCACTGATGATGTTACCTACTTTGGTAATGAAACGTATTACAAGAAACCCTCACCCCAGCTCAGAGTACAAAGGACCCCATAGTCATCGTCCTCCTCCTCCTTTCCATAAACATCATTCCCTTCTAGCGCTAATGATGTTATCTAGTTTGGTAATGAAATGTCTTAAAGAAAAATCCCAAGCTGTGAGAGTACCAAGGACCCACAGTCCTCCTCCTCCTCCTCCTCCTCCTCTCCACAAACATCACTCCCTTCTAGCACTCATGATGTTACCTAGTTTGGTAATGAAATCTTTGACAAGAAACCACCATCCCAGCTCAGAGAGCACTAAGGACCTCATAGTCCTCCTCCTCTTCCTCTTCCTCTCCATAAACACCACTCCTTTCTAACACTGATGATGTTACTTAGTTTGGTAATAGAAGGTCTTGCAAGAAAACCACCCAGCTCAGAGACCACCAAGGACCCCACAGTCCTTCTCTTCCTCCTCTTCTTCTCCATAAACATTACTCCCTTCTACCACTGATGATGTTGCCTAGTTTGGTAATGAAATGACTTGCAATAAAACCCCAAGCTCAAACAGCACCAAACACCCCACAGTCGTCCTCCTCCTCTTCCTCCTCTTCCTCTCCACAAATATCACTCCCTTCTATCACTGATGATGTTACCTAGAATGGTAATGAAACGTCTCTCAAGAAAACCCCCCAAGTTCAGGGAGCACCAAGGACCCCACAATCTACTCTAGGCTGTCTAAGTCGGGGGTCTCCAACCTTGGCAACTTTTAAGACTTGTGGACTTCAACTCCCAGAATTCCACAGCCAGCTTTGCTAGGAGTTGAAGTCCACAAGTCTTAAAAGTTGCCACGGTTGGAGACCCCTGCGTCTATGTCTAAGACTCATAGCTCTAAGCTATGTTTGCTCCAACAGTTATGGGGAAAATACAGTTTCTCTCCTGTGAAGAATTTGTTTATTTATTTATTTATTTATTTGGTTTGTCAATTGCTTACCAAGATAATAGGTGTAAGTAAAAACATGGTTATGAGTACATAGATACATATAAGAAAAATAAAAGAAGCAATAGGACAGGGACGGTAGGCACGTTGGTGCGCTTATGCACGCCCCCTACAGACCTTACAGAATGCCCTGCTAGGCAGCTTCCTGGAATACTTAGTATTCAATCTCTCTTCCCACCAGATCAGCATACCTAACTCCCAGAAACTTGGGTTGTTCGCCAGGTGCCGAGGTCTCTGTTTCCATCTTCAAACTGTCAATGTGAGCGATGGAAATCACAGTAGCAGCAACATACCAAGGCAGACCCATGAAGGAACAGATGATCATCAACACAGCCACCCAGAATAGATCCAGGTGATATCCAGCACCTTTCTGCAAAGGTAAGAAGGAAAAAAGAAAGAGGACAGTTAATTTTAAGTGTGAAGTCTTTGCTGTGAGGATGTCAGCCTAGAGCTGAGATACTGGCTTTGAACAGTACTCTAAACTAGGATAAAATCTGATTAGGTACTTTGAGGTTCAGCACGTCATGAGATTCCAGATGTTACCTGAACTTGTTGTATGTCATATAATTGCCAGGGTTCCGGCGATTGCCCTAATTAAATCATGAGCCTCAAGCCAAGCTTCAAAAGAATCCAAAAGATTTATTAGGAGCAACGGGTCAGCATTGACCCATATGAAGCCAACTCTGCCACACGTAATTCACGGTCACCTGTGACCCTGTTTCACCCCTCAGATTCTCCAACGAAGCAAGTTCACGAGCTGGGTGTCATCAATCACATTCTCCAATGAAGGATTTTCAGGGGCAGAAGATCCGGTAGCCTAGGCTACAATCTTTGTAAGATATGAACAGAGTTGGAGGGCACCTTGGAGATCTTCTAGCCCAACCCCCTGAGCAAGCAAGAAAACCCCTATACCACTTCAGGACAAAAAGCTGTCCAGTCTCTTCTTAAAAACCCTCCAGTGTTGGAGCATTCACAACTTCTGGAGGCAAATTGTTCCAATTGTTTAATTGTTCTGTCAGAAAATTTCTCCTGAATTGTAAGTTTGTTCACTCCTTGATTAGTTTCTACATTAATCAACATAAACTTAGATACAGAGTGGCTCTAGCTATAATGTAAGAAAATGAATCGAAGTCATTGCTTTTTAAATTTGTTTTATTTAGCGTATGGCATCAACAGAGGTCATGCAATCACTGATATACACATTTGGTTTAAATAAAGCGTCAGCAAATCAGCGTTTCTATTGACTGATCAGTAGAGTAGAGTAGAGTAGAGTAGAGTAGAGTAGAGTAGAGTAGAG